TCTGTAGTCCAGGCTGGCCTCGAACTCACAGAGATCCGCCTGGCTCTGCCTCCCGAGTGCTGGGATTAAAGGCGTGGAACTACCTTCTTATCTCCCTCCGATCATGATTCCACTGGCCTGGTGGCTGCAGGGATCCCTCCACAACACCCCATCTCCCTGCCCAAGCCCACTGGATGGAAGGAAAGACGGACCCAGGCCCAGGTTGGTCCTGTTTCTTGCCCTCTGCTCCTAGTCTTTAGCCTCACAGGCCAAACAGGGAGAGGTAAGAGGAGGCAGGTGCATTTGAAGGCTTCTCGTTGTCCTCCTACCCATTCCCCAGAATGGCTGGAAAATTACACTCTGTTCTCTGAGAAGCTGGGCTCAGATGACTCTGTCGGAAGCTTCCAGCTTTAGCCTAACGCTATTACTCATGCCTAATGTGAGAATTGAGTAGCATGTTTCTAAAGAGGGATGTTTAAAATACTCACACTGCTCCAGGATGAATCCTTCCTCACACCATTTAAGGACACGTGTGCTCAGGAGCAGAGTCAGTTTTTACTGTCGCTGCTTGAAGAGGAGTTGGGGGGGGGGGCAGCTTCATTGAAAGTTGAGCTATGCCCAGTACGGTGCCAGGTGCTGGGGGTGGACGAGTGGGAGGTGAGGAACCTTTCCCCTCGGGGCATTCTGGCAGCTGGGATTTGAGTATCTCCACTTAAAGTTAACATTCGATAGCATGTAAAAATGCAGACCGTGGAGTCAGACTTGGGTTTGCTGTCAACTCTCAGCCACTCAATGACTATTTACTAAGGACCTCCCACAGAGCATCGAGTGTGCTCCAACTGGGCATAAGACGGTGAGCTAAGCCAGACTGGATCCATGAACCCCGTAGTGGGGCTGACATCGGGGTAGACTTGCAAAATTAAAATAAGTGCAAAACTATCCATTTATAAAAGTTACGCATGTAACGAATTAAAACCCACTACTGCTTCCCAAAGAGGCTCACAGGGCGGAGATGAGATGACGTGGTGTGGTTTGTTCAGTTTATTTTGAGACAGGGTCTCAATGTGTAGCCCTGGCTGGCCCGGCACTTCCTATGTAGACCAGGTTGGCCTCCAACGGACAGAGATCCGCCTGCCTCTGCCTCTCAAGTGCTGCGACAGTTTGTTTGGACTAGTTACAGAGGTGACGGCGCTGAAGAAGTGCGGGAGGAGACTGGCTAAAGGGGAGAGGAGAGAACAAGGCTGGAGGGAGGCTCCATGGACGCTGCCCATCCCAGCCGCCACTAGCCACACACGAAACAAAGGTCTGGAATTTAGTCAGTGGGACTGAAGAAGGTCCATTTTATTTTAAAATTAAAAACCAAAGCAAGGTAAATTTTAAAATACTTATCTTTAAGGATATTTTGGACAAACCGAGTTAAATGAAACAGCAGTCGAGTTAATTTAATCTGCTTCGATTTTACTTTTAACAGCGTAGGGTCAGGTGCGGTAGCACTCGCCTTTAATCGCAGCACTCTGGAGACAGAGGTAGGGGGATTTCTGTGAGTTGGAGACCAGACCGGTCAGAACTACATGGTGAGCCCCAATCTCAAAACCCAAATCTAAAAAACAAAACAAAAACAAACAAACAAACAAAAAAAGTGTATCGGATGAAGCCAGGCTTGGTGTATGTCTACTCCCAGCACTGAGAGGCTGAGACAGGATGAGTTGAGAACCCCAGGGCAGTCTGAGCTACCCAGTGAGACCGTATCTCAAAATAAATAAATAAATAAATAAATAAATAAATAAATAAATAAATAAATAAACACCCAAACAACAACAACAACAACAACAAAACCCGAAAGGTGCTTTTAGGTATAGCTCATCGGGAAAGCATGAGATCAGCGTGCACAAGGATCACTCAGGGTTCAACATCAAAAAGCTGCTAGAATGATCGCAAGTTACGAAGGTGGTCTGCTTTACGTTTCTGTTGACCAGTGAGTGCTAGGCTAGAGATGGTTAATTCTGAACGTAAATTTTCACTCTCTTGAAATGCAGTGTGGCAAAGGTGGAGGAAAACTGCTTGGAGACCGCTTGGTTCTGTCCCTTTCGGCTGGGATGACACCTAATGTACCCACTAGGCCGCCAGGAAACCATCTCCAGGATGGCCTGTTTCTTCATTTACCAAACAGAGCACAATACACGCCGTTAGGACTTGAGGAATTTTGGAGGGGATTCTCCAGTCCTCCGCCCCTTGTTCACTGGGCGACCTTCCTGGACCTCAGTTTCCCTTGCTCGTGGGCATGAGGAGGCGGCAGGCCGGGCAGGAGCCAGTTTGCTGCTTGGCAAGGAGTGGTCCTCTGTCTGTTCGTCTGTCTTACCTGAAAGTTTCGGCGGAATCGCAAAGCCTCAGGGCGGGTTCCACCACGGGTCCCTCCGGGGACCCGACCAAGCTCCGGATGGCCGCCGGCACCCGCGGCCCCAAACCACCGGGAAGGGGCGCGCTTTGCTTTGTGGCCGGGGCGGGGGAGCCTGAGACCAGGCCATTTTGCTACTGTGAGTCCAGTCTGGGTCACTACACACTCCTTTCCCACAACAATGCAGCCATGAGCTGGCCCAGGGGCGGCCACACGCGGTTGCCATGGCGACGGCGGCGCTACCCGGGGGCCGGACCAATGTGTGCAGGGGGGACACGCCTCCCCTTGACTGTGCCACTTGGCGTGTGAGCAGCTCCAGGAGACGTTCCCGAGGGTTCCCTCGCCTCGTGAACCGGAGGGAACCCGCGGGGGGGACCCCGCTGATGCGCGGAAGCTCGTCTGGGAGGTGGCTTCCCCTCCGTCCTCAGTGGTAGAGGCCATAGCGGCCGCGCATGCGCGCGATGGGTCCCCGGCGCCCGCCAATCGCAGTCGCGACGGTTGACGCGGCATGGGCGGATCCTTGCAGAAGGTTGGGGATAGCGCTGCACTCCGGCTTCGCAGACGCGCAAGGTACGTCTGGGAGCGCTGGGCGAAGGCCCGGGCCGGCCGGGGTGGGTGGATACCCCGGGACCCCTGGAGAGGGTGGCGGGCAGGCCGGGTGGTGGCGTGCCCCGTGGGCGCATCTTGCGACGGTGGCTCGGGACCGTGTTTTGACCCATCACCTGAAGGGTGTCTCCTAACCGGTACCGAACTCCTGTGGTCCTGTGGTCCGTGCGCCTGCAGACAGGCAACTGGCTGGCTCTTAACTCTTTCCAGACACTTTTGAGAATCCAGTGAAAGCCAAAGATGCTTCCTTTCCTTTCTTGTCGGAATGAAGATAATGCGTTTTATAGCCTGGTGCAAACTTAAAGCTTCGCACATTATTAAGTACGGTTCCCTGTAGAGAGAGGGGCACAGCTTGATTTGCTTCCCAGGGTTATGGTGAGCATCAAACGCCCCAAGAACTTGTAAACACGAAAGCACTCCTCACCTACATACTGGATGCTGTTATTATTCCTGGCTATAAATAAGAGACTCGAGGGCTGGAGAGATGGCTGGACGTCTGAGAGCACTGGATGCTATTGCAGAGAATCCCGATTCAATTCCCAGCTCATGACCGCCTGTAACTCCAGTTCCAGGAATCTGCGAACCCAAGGCACACGGTACACAGACTTAGACGCAGGCAAAACACCCATACACATTGAAACAATAACAGCAGATAAAGCACCTGAGGCCCTTGGGGGATAAAATGCTGGGATCCCATTGAGGGTGAGCAGTGGTGTTGGTTGGAAGCCAAGTATAGTCCCTTAACTTTCTTGATCCTGAGCCTTCCCTATGAGAAGGCTTCACTAAAGAACCCTAGGATTAAAGATGTTTAATCAAAGGCTGGTGTGTCTCTGTGAGTTCAAGGCCAGCCTGGTCTACAGAGTGAGTTCCAGGACAGCCAGGGCTACACAGAGAAATCTTGTCTCGGAAAAACAAAAATAGAACACCAGGATCTCAGCGGAGCTGATTATAAAGTCATCCAGAGTCTTGCACGGTGCTCATATGGCCTGTACCTTGATCTTAGAAGGATGTGTGTGCATGTTAAAATTTTGTGGTAGGACTAGGGAAAAGGCTCAGTGAGTGTGAGTGCTTGCTGCACAAGCGTAAGGGCCTGAATTCAAGTCCCCAACACCGCCGTAAAAGCCTACCGTGGACTCTTTTTTTTTTTTTTTTTTTTTTTTTTTGGTTTTTCGAGACAGGGTTTCTCTGTGTAGCTTTGCGCCTTTCCTGGATCTCGCTCTGTAGGGCTGGCCTCGAACTCACAAAGACCCGCCTGCCTCTGCCTCCCGAGTGCTGGGATTAAAGGCGTGCGCCACCACCGCCCGGCTACCGTGGACTCTTTACACCTGTAATCCCAGCACTGTTTGGGGCAGAGACAGGACTGCTTGGACTCGCTGGCCACCTACTAACTCCAGGTTCAGGGAAAGACCCTGTCTAAAGGAGAATGACAGAAAGTGATAGAGCAGCACACCTGATGTCTTCTTCTGGACTCTGTTCCTGCACACACACACACACACACACACACACACCTCTGCAGGTCCACATGCATACAGCACAAACATATTTAAAAAAAAAACTACCATGAAGCCTTGTGGGTTTTTTTAAATTTTATTTACTTTATGTATGAGTGCTTTGTCTGCATGCACACCTTTATGCCAGAAGAGAATATCAGATCCCCTTAGAGGTGGTTGTGAGCCACCATGTGGTTGCTGGGAATTGAACTCAGGACCTCTGGAAGAGCAGCCAGTGCTGTCAACCACTGAGCCCCCAAGAAGCCTTGTGGTTTTAAAGCGTCTCTTTATTTGTTATACTTAAGTTAAAAAGATGCCAGGCAGTGGTGGTGCACACCTTTAATCCCAGCACTTGGGAGGCAAAGGCAGGCAGATGTCTGGGCTCGAGGCCAGCCTGGTCTACAAAGAGAGTTCTAAGACAGCCTGGGCTGTTACACAGAGAAACACTGTCTTGAAAAGCCAAAAATAAAAAAGTTGACCTCTTCCCTGAGCCTAAATGATGTTAGTGATTTATGAGCATTGCAGGAGGTTGTGATCAAAGCTGGTGCGATGGTGACAGTGTCGTTGTCAGTTCTCCATGTTCTGGCTCTCTCCTTCTCTCGAGACACCTTCCCTCTCCTAACAGGCCAGGTGACTTGACACACGGACCAAGTGACAGCACCACTGTCATTCTGGGAATGAAATGCCAGAGTAGCTTTGAGGCTTCAGAATGGCGTGGTGCTGCTCTTACTGGCTCCAGGGGATAGAAATTTCACCCCTTGGTTCACACTCTAATGCTGATGATGATGCCAACTTGGGACAGGTTTGCCTGAGGCTAACTGTGAAGCCACACAGACTGGTTCAAATGTGTGTTCCCACTAAAGACCTTAGCCTTCTGGATGTCACCAATCAAATGGGGGTGAATAGGAGGGGCTTTGTCAAAGGGCAATTGTGAGTTAAATGAGACTATGCAAGGCATTAGCATACTGCCTGGCACACAGGAAGCATCCAGTGCATGGGATCTCCTACCAGGACTTCTAGGACCTCAGGCCTTTCTTTGCTGCTCTGTCAAAAAGGACAACTACCCAGCAGACATTGCCAGGATTGGTAATCGTCAATGACTGAAATGTTTTCATGATTTTGGAACAATGAAAGAGAATAACTGGGGTTGGGGATTTAGCTCAGTGGTAAAGCGCTTGCCTAGCAAGCGCAAGGCCCTGGGTTCGGTCCTCAGCTCCAGAAAAAAAAAAAAAAAAAGAAAAGAAAAAGAAAGAGAGTAACTGACCTGTTTGACCCTAGGAGAAGGAAGTGTCCGTGTTTCCTCATCAAGTCAGGAATGCCTCTCTTTGGGAGTATATTCAGCCCAAAGAAGACCCCTCCTCGGAAGTCTGCCTCTCTCTCCAACCTGCATTCTGTGAGTGGAGATTGGGGTGCCACGAGTGGTCTCTGGGTGGATAGGCGACACTGGGAGGACATCCTTTTAGTTTCTGTTAGTACTCAAGTTGGAACTCCTGTGTGGGTATTACTGTCAGAGTTTTTTCAAGAACCCACTAAGACAGCCCACCTCAGTCTGATTTTGGTCCCAGGCGATGATGTCCAATCTGACTTACATTTGAGTTCCAAAACCTGTCCAAAAATTAATTTCAGTTATGGTTAAAGATCAAATTCAAGCCTGGCCTTGAACTCACAGAGATCCACCTGCCTCCGCCTCCTGAGTGCTGGGATTAAAGATGTGTGTCACCATGCCTGGCCTGATTGTTTTTTTTTTTTTTTAAATATGGATGGTGTGTTGTAGAATATTATTTTAAGGTGTGTTACTTTTGTTTATGTTGCATTTGTTTAACTCTGTGAAGCTGGGTTACTGTGCCTGTATGAAACACCTGGTGGTCTAATAAAGAGCTGAACAGCCAATAGTGAGGGAGGAGAAAGGATGGGCAGGGCTGGCAGGCAGAGAGGATAAATAGAAAGAGAAAACTGGGGAAAGGAAATAAAGTAGCCAGAGAAGGAGGAGGACTCCAGGGGCCAGCCACCCAGCTACACAGTAAGCCACGGAGTAAGAGTAAGATTTACAGAAATAAGAGAACAGGAAAAGCCCAGAGGCAAAAGGTAGACGGGATAATTTAAGTTAAGGAAAGCTGGCAAGAAACAAACCAATCTAAGGCTGGGCATTTATAAGTAAGAATAAGCCTCCGTATATGATAATATTCAAGTCCCAATAGAAAAATTAAATAATAGAGGCAGTGAACAGATATCTTAATGAGGAGAGTAGCGTGGAAACAGAGTTGTCACTTTAAATAGGGTGGTCAAGGGAGTTCTGACACTTCAGCACAGGCCTGAAGGGCTTCTTCCTTCTCTTTGTGTGTGTTCTGTGTGTGTGTGTGTCTGTGTTCTGTGTGTGTGTGTGTGTGTGTGTGTGTGTGTGTGTGTGTGTGTTCTCTCTCTGTGTGTGTTCTCTGTGTGTGGGTGTGGGTGTGCATGCTCTGGCACCCATTGCCTGGACCTGCTTCTTGAGCTGCTCATGTCTCCCTCTCACAGGGGCAAAAGCTCCTCTCTGGCAGAGCTGGTCACACTCATCTCTGAATGCTCGGGAACCAGGCCTGACTTAAGGAGTGTTTGATGAGCTCTGTTGATGAATACAGAAATTGGACTGTCACACATTAAACACGCCCTAGCAGGAACTTAGAATTTTATGCCTCTTCATAACTGTGTGCTTCTGTATTAAGTAAATTACAGATTTCCTTGTTATAAATGTACAGTGATGGGAAGAGAATGAATTAAAACCAAGTATCAGTACACATGTACAAATGTACAATGGATTCTTTGAACTGTAAAATAGATGTAAAAATTCAATTACAAACTGTAGCCTATATAGCCTTTCTGGAAACATCCAAAGTATAAAACAGAACAGTTCATCCCTCTTATAGTTTAAATTGAGTGGGTGGGTAGTGCTTATGCATGGAGGCCAGAAGGGGACATTGGGTGGCCTGCTTTACCACTCTCCCTTATTCCCTTGAGACAGGGTCTCATTCTGAACCTGGAACTTACTATTTGAGGCTGGGTACCTCCACGCCATCAGCGGACACGCCCACCATCTGAGATGCCTTTATCCTAACCTCCATTCCTGCCACTCTCCTGGGGCATTCAGCTCACACACTGCTTCATCCGAGAAGCTCTCTCCACTGTATAGACCTCTTCTGTACCAATGCCAGCCTCCACTTAGACTAAAGGACACCCTTCCACAGACACAGGAATTGTGGGTATTTTCGCCCAGGCTGGTGACCAGCAACCCACTGAGCCTCTCCTATCTCCCATCTACCTCCCCCGGT